ACAGGGGCGGGTCCAGAAAGGCGCGAGCTTCCGGGGCCGCCTCTGAGGGAAGGAAAGGGGGCGGGGCCAGGCATGAGCGAGCTTCCGGGGCCGCCTCTGCGGGAAGGAAAGGGGGCGGGGTGTGGGCGGGGCCAGACCCGAGCGAGCTTGGGCTTCTGAGGGGTTTTCCCGTACCGGCTGGGACGGGAGAGGTGGGGAAGGGGTCAGGATTTCCGAGCAAGCGGAGCGTGCCTCGGTTAGCAGCCGGGCCTAGGCTGAAAGCTGCAGGAGGGAAGTGGCTCCATGACGGCTCCTCGGCCCTCCACAGCCCCCGTCTCCACCCCGGCTAACCTGATCGCTGTAGAACGCAGAATGGCGGGAAGCCTCCAGCAGCACCACCACCCCGCCGCTCGGCCCCGCGCGCCCTCCAGTGGCGTCCTGCGTATGGCTTTGGTCTGGACCTGCGCACCTGCCTTCAGCCCCGGTCTCCCCAGCAAGAAGGCAATCGTGCGAAAGTTCTGCAGGGGACTGAATGTAAGGGAACAAGGTGTTAAAGGACAAAATTGCAACAGATTTAGTTAAAGATCTCAATTAGTTTTATTGCAGTACTAAAATTGGGAAACACATCATTTCATAAAATAGAATAAATGCTCCAATGAGCTAACTTTATAGACAGAAAAAAAGGGCTGAAGAAAGCAGAAACAAAGAACAAAAAGCAGACTGGTCTTTTCAAAGTTACTTTCCTTGTAAGGTGGGGACAGGGAGACAGAAAAATAGAAAAATAACTGATTATTTAACATCAGGTTACTTCAGGCTATCCTTTTTGTGTAAGGATTAAAGCAGATTCATGCCTATTGAAGATTTAAAGTGGCCTGATTGGGGGCCGGCCAGTTAGTTCAATAGGTTAGAGTATGGTGTTGATAACACCAAGGTCAAGGGTTTGGATCCCCTTACTGGCCAGCTGCCAAAAAAAAGTGGCCTGTTTGGGAAGTTGGCAGTTATCTTCTCTCCTAATTTCTCTCTCTCTTGATTTCTCAGAAGGTCAGATAACTTAGTCTAGGTTTGGTGATGTGGAATTTTTGCTAGGGTGACTCCACTTTGAGTTTTGGTCTGGTCTGTTGGAGCCTACTGTACAAACTTAGTCCAAAACAATGGCCTCCTATAATTTTTAACAAGGGGTCATTTTGTTCATGGTCTGGGTGCCCAGCAGAACTGCAGGAAGTGGAATCTGGCCACAAAGGAGACCAAAATCCGTGACCACATCTAACCCCAGCCTGCCTCCTCAGAGCCTTGTCTGTGCCTTGGGCCAAGGTCAAGCACGGTGCCCTTGCAGGGCACCCTGCCCCAGCCAAAATCACCCTTTTCTTTCAAACAGCCCCCATTTCGCCTCCAGAAACCTTACCCTCTCCCTCAGGAGCTGGTGGGAAGTGAAGGACTGGGGATCCTGTTTCTGCTACCTCTGTCTGTACATAGGGCCCTTGAGTAGAAACCTATAGCTGGACTAAAGGCCTGGAGGCTCTAGAGCTGCTTGCTTGGAGCCTTATTATGAAGGGTCAAGAGAGACCTTTCTGCCCCAGCCCTCACAGAACCCTATTCCCAAGGTCCCTTCCCCAAGAATCCACCACCAAAACCAGGGCCCTCCAAGTGCCTTCCCAGTGTTCTGGCCCAAGAAGAGTAGGCCTACTATGCCTGGTATTCCTGATGCTACTGCAGTCTCTCTCTTTATGACCCCACAGCTTTTGTTGCTTTGTCTGCCCTGGCCCTGCACAGCCAGGCCCAGGTTCACAGGCTTCTTTCCAGGCTCCAACTCCTGAAATTGAGCAGGCACCTTCTTCTCACTAAAGCCCTCAAAAATTTAGATGAAAGCGAGCTGTGGCTTTGGTCCCCCAAATTAAAGTGATTTAAATTCTGGGAATTGTAGGGCCGGCCCATGGTTCACTTGGGAGAGAGTGGTGCTAATAACACCAAGGCCACGGGTTCGGATCCCTATATAGGGATCGCCGGTTCACTCACATGGGAGAGCATGGTGCTGACAACACCAAGTCAAGGGTTAAGATCCCCTTACCAGTCATCTTTTTAAAAATAAATAAATAAATAAATTCTGGGAACTGTAACACCAAGGTCAAGGGTTCAGATCCCCAGCCAGCCACCAAAATAAATAAAAATAAAACAAAGCCTAAATAAATAAAAATAAAATCTGGGAACTGCACTGTCCAATTAGCAATTGGGAGCTGGGTTTTATAACGGGGGTTTTATGGGTTTTTAGGATCAAAGAAACTATCTTGACATCTTGAGACGTTTTTACAGGGAATGAGACCCAACTTTTCCTACCAGATGAAAATGCTGACCAAATGTGGACTAAAAGGACACTAGACTGATTGGAGCTAGAGATTGATAGACAGGGTCCCAGAACTCTTCCTTTGTCTTCTGAGATTCAACCAATCAGAAACATCCACAGGCTACTCAACCAGCCCCAACCCCAACCCACAAGTTTTTCCTTTAAAAATCCTTGCTTGTAGGGCCGGCCCTGTGGTGCCACTTGGGAGCGCGCCGCCGAGGGTTCGGATCCCATGTGGAGACCGGTTCCCGCTCACTGGTTGAGCGCGGTGCGGGGCGCAACACCGAGGGTTGCGATCCCATTACCGGTCAGTAAAAAAGACAAAAAGGAAAAAAAAAAATCCTTGCTTGTAAACTTTTGGGGGGGGGGGGTTTCAGCATTAGCTGTCCTTGCTCCAGCTACTTGGCCTTGTAATTAAATGCCTATTTCCCTGTTGCAACGAAGTGTCAGTGTGGTTTAGCTTAGCTGTGCAGGGGTGGGTGGACCTAAGTTTGGTTCAGTAACACTCCACAGCTGCACATACTCTGCAACCTAAGAAATCTCAGCAGAGTCTAGGAGCTAGTAATGGGAACACTTTCCGCTTGCTGGGGAGGGGAGATGAGGGCCTCTGATTCCCCACTGTCTAGTGTCTCATCATCCCTGCAGTCATTTAAAGCCCCAGCACAAGACCAGGGTTCAACATCATCCCATTCACAATAAGGGATCCCAGGAAGGAAACTAAACCGGGATTACACTCCTAGTTTGACAGAAGGGAAAGCTGACCTTTGCCCAAGGCCATATCATAATTGAGCGATAAAAGGGGGCTGGGCAGGAGCTAGGGCACCTTTCCCTTATGGTAGTTCCCACCCTTTCCACTGTGCCTGCGGATAGAGGAGGAGTCTTAGAGTGAGGATGAAGAAAGAAGGATAGGGATTAGTGTTACCCAGGACTCCCCTGGAGTGAGCCAAGGCTTTCTCTGGGTCATTACTGAGCTGCTCATTCACTAGGCTGCCTGGCCTTTGACCCATGCCAGTGCAGTCCCTGCCCCATCCCTCCAGCAAGCCATACACACCTTCTGGGAGGTGCCACTGGCATTGTGTATAATGAGATAGGATAAAATAAAAACTACAATAGCAACAGCTACTATTTACTGAATACTTACTCTATCTCATTTAATCACAACAACCCTGTGAAGTAGGTACTATTATTATTGCCATTTTTACAGATGAGCACACTAAGGCTCAGAGAAGTTAAGCAACTTACCCAAAGTCATACAGCTAGTAAGTGATGAAAGTGAATTTCAAACCCAGGTCCACTGGCTTTTGGAACCCATGTTCTCACATTCAGTGGTCTGCAGAGCAGAACCAGATGCCGCTCACCACCACTGACCAGCTTCTGGGTACTGCCCTCCTGCCTGCAGGCCCGAACACCCAGCCAGGCCTCTTTTCCTAAGCCCGGTCCCCCATGACATCCTTCTTCCTCTTGCTTATGGAACCCAACAGATCAGGCTACCTGACAAAGGAATCTTTTGCAATGCCTTGGTCCATGGTATCCATCCCAAATGCCTCCCCAACAGTATGCCCCATTGCTCCTCAGAGTTTGGCTCACATTTTCACTGAGCTTTTGCTTATGCCTTTTGCCCTTCTTGGATGCCCTCCCCTAACCCTTCATGGGCCACCAAGCTGAAATCCCAGAAGACTTCTGAGTTCCTCAATCCAGTGATCTCACACAGTTCTGGGTTCAGGGCCAGAAACGCCCCCACAAAGCTCCTCTGGCCCAATGTCCAGTGAGGAAGCTGCAAAGATCAGGGAGGGCCTGAGTTCTAGTCCTAACGAGGTGCGGAGAGGGAAGGAGGACTTCAGTACCGCTGTTCTTTTCAGGTCCTGAGCCACCAGTTGTTCTCCAAATCTTGTTTGGGAGAAGGGGGCAAAAATGTTGAGGGAAGTGGAATTGAAGAGACAGGTTCGGCTGAGAGATTGCCCGGATGAAAGGAGAGCCGAGTAGGAGACATACAGATGGCCAATCTTTCCACAATAAATTCCTCTGGACCATTTCGTGGAGGGAGTGAAAAATCTGTAACCTAAAACATTTAAATAAATAAATACATATATATTTTTTTAATTAAAAAAAATTAAACTTAAAAGCAAACTCCAGAATTGTAGAGAAAAAACGTGAAACTGCTAAGAAATTCCGTTCTTGTGGAAGGAGAATTCGGGCTCCACCCCCAACACGGGCTGAGTCCCTTTGCTCTGAGACCAGGGGATGAGAGCCCAGCGCCTGGCACCAAGTGAAGGCAGCTATTGTGATCTCCCGGGCCTGGGAAGGGAGGCTCAGTGCCCAAGAGACCCTGGGAAGAAGCAGCCCGGCGCCAGCGCTGTACCCTCCGCAACCGGGTCTGGGCGACAGGGTGGAGTGTCAAAGGCGGAGTCACGGGCTCCGCCCCAGCACCCGCTCCGCGTGGTTCTCACAGCTAGCAGCTCAGACCTGGTGGTCCCGAGGCTGCAGGGAGAAGCCGGGAGCCCCCAAGGGGTCGGTCTGCGACTTCTGGGAAAAGAGAGAGGAAGGCGCTCTGCGGTCAGAACTGGACTCCACCGACTTCCGACCGGCTTCCGACGACCAGCTTGGGACCGAGAGTCCCGGCGTCCCGAAGGACAAGTGAACGGCTCCAGGAGAGGGACAGGTAGGGGTCGCCATCCGGCGCGCCATGGCCGCTCCCGCCAGCCGTCTGTGCCACATCGCCTTCCACGTGCCCGCGGGACAGCCCCTTGCCCGGGACCTGCAGCGCCTCTTCGGCTTCCAGCCCTTGGCGGCGCGGGAGGCGGAAGGCTGGCGGCAGCTGGCCCTGCGCAGCGGCGACGCGGTCTTTTTGGTGAACGAAGGCTCGGGGCCCGGGGAGCCTCTGTACGGCCTGGACACACGTCATGCCGTGCCCAGCGCCACGAACCTGTGCTTCGATGTGGCAGACGTGGGTGCCGCCGCCCTGGCCCTGGCCTCGCGGGGCTGCCGCGTGCCGGTGCCCCCTGTCAGCGTGCGGGATGCGCAGGGCGCCGCCACTTACGCCGTGGTCAGCTCGCCTGCAGGCAATCTCAGCCTGACGGTGCTGGAGCGCGCCGGCTACCGCGGGCCCTTCCTGCCGGGCTTTGGGCCCGTGCCCTCCGCGCCCGGCCCCAGCTGGATCAGCCACGTGGACCACCTGACCTTGGTCTGCACTCCCGGCAGCTCCCCTACGCTGATGCGCTGGTTCCACGATTGCCTGGGCTTTTGCCACTTGCCTCTGAGCCCAGGTGAGGATCCGGAGGTGGGCCTCGAGGTGGCAACAGGGTCTGGACACGGAGGTCTGCGGCTGACCGCCCTGCAGACCCCACCGGGCACCGTTGTCCCTACCCTCGTGCTGGCCGAGTCCCTGCGGGGGGCCACCAGCAGCCAGGACCAGGTGGAGCAGTTCCTGGACAGGCATCAGGGGCCCGGCCTGCAGCATGTGGAGCTGTATACGCCGAACATCGTGGAGGCCACTGAGGGGGTGGCCATGGCTGGGGGCCAGCTGCTGACTCCCCCTAAGGCATACTACCAGCAGCCAGGCAAAGAGAGGCAGATCCTAGATGCAGGGCACAAGCCTAGCCTTCTGGCCCAACAGGGAATCCTGCTGGATGGCAATAAAGGCAAGTTTCTGCTTCAGGTCTTCACCAAGTCCCTTTTTGCTGAGGATACCTTCTTCCTGGAGCTGATTCAGAGGCAGGGGGCCACAGGTTTTGGCCAAGGCAACGTCAGGGCCCTGTGGCAGTCTGTGCAGGAGCAAGTTGCCAGGGGCCAGGAAGCCTGAGGAGGGCCAGAGCTGGGTGCAGCCATCCGGGTACTGTGCAGGGCCTGCTGGAACTGAGGAACACCCCCAGGAGACCCAGCTAGTAAAAGGCTTTGCCCCCAGGGACCAGATGTGGCCTCCACCTCCTCAGTATCTGTCAGTAATTGAGTCTCACACTGGACTCCAAAGAAGAGGTTTTTTTTTTAACTGTAAAACACTTTATATACAGTCTATATGTAGTACATGTGCAAGATATAAAGAACAATTTAAAAAATTACACAATTAGGAAATAGAACATAAACAATACTTTTGAAGCCTTGTGTCCTTCTCTGATCCCACTTCCCACCAACCCCAAATTCTGTGATTTTCTGATGTTTCACTATATATGTAATGTGTCCCTAAATAAATGATTTAGCATTTGAGGCAGGAATTTAAGACAGAACAAATCCTCCCCTGTGCGTCCCCTCCCCCAGGGAGCAGCCACTGCAGGTGGGGAGGAGCTGGGCCAGGGCTGAGCCTAACCACCCACTCTAGGGTGAGGCCACTGCTCCAATCAGAGCTGACCTGAGATCTAGACAGAGGGTGTTGGGTGTCAGCCACTGGCAGGTGCTCCCTGCAGCTGCCTTCACCCTCTCTTGGGGGCTGGAGGAAGACAGATCCCTCTGAACAGAACACCCCCCTCCTCCATCTGTCCAGGGCTGGGTGGGAGCTCAGCCAGTGGAAGTCAGGACCAAGCAGGACTTCACCACTTTCTCAGTCCCTCAGAGGTGAGGAGTGAAGGGGCTAGGGAGAAGGTGGAAAGCTCTCCATGACTAAAAATATAAGCACTTTATTTAACAACAGGATTCTCAGGGGGTGGGGGCTTCCAGAGGCACCACTGGGCTGCACTGTTGAGGATGAATGACTAAGTGGGGACGTGGGGCCGTAAGAAACTATCCAGGACTTGCTGGCCCAGGCTTGGCTTTTTCCGGCTGGATGGAGTGGACAACTGGGACCTTTTGGAACCCTGTGCAGAAGACAAAGGGGTGAGGTGCTGAGGAGGGGGCAGCAGGGAATCTTCTCTTTCCTCCCTCTCCTCCCGACTTCCCCAGCACTACTGATCTAGCTCATGCTGTAGCCTGGAATGTCGTAGAGCTTTCAACCTGCCTCCAGATCTGTCCCTTCTATGAACTCTCCGAAAGGCAGGCTGAGGGAGTCTTCCTAAAATGCCAATCTGACTCCTTTCCTCCACCTAAAATGCTTCAGTGGCCTGGTGTTCACGCCCTGACTGAGCTGAACAGGCTGTCAACCCCTCCAGCTAAACCAGCTGCTGCCCGCTCCTTGAGCACTGCAGACTGCACTGTGCCCACCTTCACTCACACTACTCTTGGGCCTGGGAAGAACATCCTTACTGCTGATTCCCCTCCCAAACCCGGAGAAAACAACTCATTTCTAGGACCCAGATTACCAGCTTCTTCTTCCAAGCAGCCCTTCCTGATCCTTGCCTGCCAGATAGAACTCATGGCTCCCCACCGCCTATCTACAAAACCTAATACAAACATTTCACAGACCCATGACTCTGCATTGTCCTCATCAATTTGCTCTTGTCCCCTTTCCCTCTGTAAGTTCCCCAGATCAAGAACTATTCCTCTTCCTCCAGTCAAGCCTGGAGTAGAGAATGCTCACCTGATTGTGTCGGTTAACTGACTGCAAACCCATGGGTTCAAGCCCGGGAAGGGATGGCTGGGGGAAGACCAAGAGACTCACCTTGCAGGTCCCTGGCTGCTGGCCCTCATACATGCGGAACACCTGGCCAAGAAGAGACAGAGAGAGGACAGGGCTGGCACTTTCTCCCAAAGAGTCAAACCCTGTGTCCCGCCCTTGACTTCATGCCTCGGCTCTTTTGTTTAAAATATGCCTTTTTTCTGTTTACACAGTAATAGGTTCATGTAGAACATGGAGGAAACGAAAAAGTACAACAAACACAACAAAGGTAGTGCCTTTTTCATGGCGGTGGAGACGGCTGCGGTATGAAATTCCTCCCGTGTCAGCCAGCGAGCGCCAGGTGGTGTGGTGGTCACAGGGGCCTGCCCTTCCAGGGCCAGACCATATACTTGATACGTCAGCTTGATGTGAGAGAAGGTGTGGACCACCTATGGGGGGGCAAAGGGGCTAAAGCAGGCCTGTGGATATGGCCACAAAAGCCATCATTCCTGGCCCCTCCACTGCTCACTCACCTTCCCCAGGTGTCGGAGGTGGGTGGCCGGGGGGGGCCCGGCCCAACTCTGCAGCTCCTGCAGCAGGGCCTCACGCTGATGCTGCTCTGAGGACTGTGAGGTCACAGCTGGGAACTCCCACAGTCCTGCCAGCAGACCTGAGAGGGAGGGCAGCCAGGTGTGGGTCAGGCCTTACTGCTGCCCCCTCCATCCTCCCTGGCTGCTCATGCCACTGCCCTCCACTCTCTGTACCCAGATACCTGAGTTGGGCCTCTGCACCAGCAGAATTTGGGCACCCCCAAGGGCCCTGCACCGCTCCAGAACACAGGTAGCAGAGCACTCCTCCCTGGGGGGCCTGCGGCTGGCCTTTCGGGGAAAGTTGGCCACTCCTAGGGTCTGGTCCCAGGGCTCTATGGGAGGTGGGCACAGCTGGCACTGTCCAGTGTTGGGAACTGGGAACAGAGATCCCCAAGCCCCACTCAGGCCAGGAGGGCTTAGGTACCAAGCCCAGACAGCAGGCCTTGGCCCAGCTCTGCAGAATCTTACAGGTTACAGCAGGAATTGGAATGAGGGTTCTACATGCAGCTCCCTGACAGGGCCGGGAAGGGCCAGGAAGGGCTGGGCGAGGGCTAGGGCTGGTGCTTACCACACTCCTCCACGTCAGGACTGCCTGGCAGGCTCCGTGAGGCTGAGAGCTGCTCCTGCTCCACCTGAGAGGTATAGGGCAGGATGTCACGGGGCAGGAGTTGCTCCCTAAGACCCCTGACGGCCCCTTCCCCACTAGGCTCACCCTCTGGCATGCCCGGCACAGGCTCTGCACAGGGCACTGGCTACAGAGTGGGCGCTGTGGGGTGCACACTATGGCCCCCAACTCCATGGCTGCTTGGTTGAAGTCCCCTGGCCGGGCTGGGTCCACCAGCTGCTGGGCTAGGCTCCTACAAGAAGGGAACATCACTCTGAGCCAAAGGCCCTTTGGAGAAACCCCTAACAACCTCTCCGGTTACCACAATATCCTACCAGAGCTGCTGGGAGACAAGAGTGCTGCTGGGATCAGCACCAATGGCTCGGACACGGCACAGCACCCGTACTACGTTCCCATCCACCACACCGGTTGCCTGACACAGAGGAGCCCAAGAGTCAGCCTGGGCTGGGAGGAAGGAGAGTGGGCACACTCATAGTGGGGGTGGACTACGGGCTCACCTGGCCAAAGGCAATAGAAGCAATGGCCCCGGCTGTGTACCGCCCCACACCAGGCAGAAGCCGCTGCAGGGTCTCTGCAGTACGTGGCATGTGGCCCCCTAGTTCCTCTACCACCTGATTGGGGCAGAAAGGCTCAATGTGATGAGAACGATGAGACACGTGGGGCCCCTGGGCTTCCCCCTCCCCACTGCCCCCACCTTACCTTCCGAGCTCCTTCCCGTAGCCGCCGGCCTCGAGAATAGTAGCCCAGGCCAGCCCAGAGCTGGTTCACCTCCTGTGGGTAGGGTCAGAGGTCAAAGAGATCACTGGTCAGTCCTGGTTGTCCCCATTCCCTCTAACCCTAGGGTGGCTCTCACCTCCAGGGAAGCACTGGCCAGGTCCTGCAGCGTTGGCCACTTCTACAATCCCAAGGCAGGCAGAAAGACATGAGGTCAAGGGTGAGGGTGGTGGAGGAAGCCTTCTCTACACCCACCCCAAAGTACAGGCCCACAACCCTCCCCTTCTTCCCCTGGAGTCACCTGCATCCATCGGGTATAGTAGTTGAGCACCGTCGCAACCTGGGTCTGCTGCAGCATGACCTCTGAGACCCACACTGGGGGGAAGGGGTTGGCATGAGGGCACTGCTGACCAGCCCTGTTCCTAGCCCACAGGCCCCAGACCCGAGGGCCTCCAGGCAAAGCAGCCTTGATCTCAGGAGATGTACTGACCAGCATACGCCCGCCTGTCCAGGTCCACCTCATCCTCCGCCTGTCAATGTAACCCCAAATGGGGAGTGAGTGTGCAGCGGGCTGGGTGAGTTTCCCACCCCGCCATCCCTGTCCCTCCCTTACCTACCTGTCTTCTCCAGGGTAGGTCTCGCTTCTCTCGGTCGTACCAGCTTAGCAAGCTCCCCCGGAAGGCTGTGACTTCAGCTGTGCTTCTGAATAGATGGTACGGAGAGAAGGAGGCCTGCAATACCACCTCTTCCTGCTGCCTGGCCAGGCCTGCTGGGGCCCCAGGACACCAAACGATTGTCCCTGCACAGGCTGTGCACCAAGGACCCGGGACACAGAAGCCTGTGGCAGTGTGCTCCTACTTAGGGCTTCCCCCACCCCAACCTCTTACATAAGCTTTGGAGCTGGAGTCAGACCAGAGCTCTATAGCTGTGTGCAGCCTTGGACAAATTTCTGGCCTTAATTTCCTCAGGGTGGTATTGCTGGCTGCTTTCTCTCTGGGCCATAATGAAAACCAACAGTTTCAGTTGGGCATAATGTATACCTATGCAGGGCTTTCCTATTCACAAGACACTTTCAGGCTCATAAAGTCATCTGATCCCATGAAAGCCACATGAGGGAAGAAACACACAGACTACTGCTCTATTTTACTGGAAGAAAGCAGCCACTCAGGGCATTTATCTCAAAGTTGCACAGCAACAAAGCCAGAATTAGACTCGTAATTAGTTTCTTAATGCCTGACACATATCACGCTCCCTTCCCAGACTGACTCTATCCCTTCATGGCCAGTGAAATCACCCCTCGGAGCCTTTGGCTGGGACTGAGCTCCTCACCATCAGGGGCAGAAGGCTTGGCCTGGCTGCTGCTGAGGGCACGTTTCTTCCTTCCCTCCTGTCTGGCTGCCTGCTTCCTGCGACCACTTCCCACAGCTGCTCGTGGCTTCCTCATGATGGCCTGGAACAGACAGACCTACTGTAGTCAGTCACAAGGCTGAGTTTTGGGGCCCTGCGGGGGTCATGGCCACCTTCCTCCCTCCATTCATATAGTGTCTAGCTTTCCTCGGATCTCTCAAGATGCTCATGGGGCTGCTCTTGGCTGGCTCTGGCAGTGGGGTATGACCAGCACAGCTGAGCAAGTGGCCTCAGGGGGACCAGCATGAGTATAGCCCTGGAGACATACAAAGAATAAGAAACCAGAGCTGGGATGGGTCAAGGACCAAAGCCTCCTGTTTGGGAGCATTTGTGTATCCCTGATGCTTACTGTGATTGTGTGTGTGGATAGAGGTTCTTTAGGTGTGTCTGGGAGCATGGGGGTGGTTAGGAGGTTTCTCTGCTTAGAGATGTAGCAGTTATGCTAAAACTGCCGTTAGTAATCATCTAGTCCAAAACCCCCAAGGATCAGAGAGGGGGAAAGACTTGCCTGACAGCAGATGGCAAATCATTGGGAAAACAGAGATGGGGCTATTTTTATTCCTAATCTTTTCCTGATCTAGTAAATCATAGCTGGCTGACCTTTAGAAATGAGAAAATGCAGGCCGGCCCGGTGGCGCGCTGGAGAGTGCGCCGCTTGGGAGCGCGACAGCGCTCCCGCCGAGGGTTCGGATCCCATGTGGAGACCGGTTCCCGCTCACTGGCTGAGCGCGGTGCGGGCGCAAAACCGAGGATTGCGATCCCATTGCCGGTCCCCGGTACAGGCGCAACACCGAGGGTTGCGATCCTGTTACCAGTCAGTAAAAAAAAAAAAAAAAAAAAAAAAAAAAAAAAAAAAAAGAAATGAGAAAATGCATCTGCTTGATCTCCACTGCTCCTTGACTGTTGTTCTGACTGCCTTTTCTCTAACACCTAAAAGTAGCTAACACTTAGTGAGTGCTAATGGTATGCCAGACCCATGAAGTGCTTTACTGGATCTCAATCAATCTCCTGATGATTCATGAGGTAGGTACTAGTATTAATTCCACTTTTCTTATGAGGAAACTGAGGCTCGTAGAGATTAAGCAAATTTTTCTTTCAAATCCAGAGCCTGCACTCTCATATTCTGCTATAATGCAGTCCCTGCTAAGCCTCTGTTTCACCACCAAACCTCTGACTTCACCAACTTATTTTCACCAAAAGAACTCGCTTCCTCCTTCAGAGGAAAAAAATTGTACAAACTCACCTCCACTTGCACTGTCCTCCCTCTTTCCCCCTTTACATGGGTGAATGGCCCCCGTTCCTCCTCAGAGTCCTGCTCCTCCAATCCCCTCCAACCAAGACTCATTCTCCTCGCCTTCTTAGCCAAACTTCCTTCAGCACTCACTTACATAATTCATTCTACAATCCATTCTCCAAAGAACAATGCGATATTTTCAAGACACAATCATATCACTCCCTTACTTAAAACCTTCAATGCCTTCCCATTAAATTGGTGAATAAGTATTTATGGAGTGCCTACTATGTACCAAGCAGTTTTAGGTACTTGGAATACTTCAGTAAAGAAAACATGAAAGGTTACTGCCCTCAAAGAGCTTATTCTAATGTGGGCAAAAAATAAATAATACACATAATAAGTAAATTATACAGAATGTTAGAAGGTGATAAATATTAGTATAAAGAAGAAAAAGAGAGCCAGTGAAAGGGATAAAGACCGCCAGTGTTGGGGGTGGAATGTAGCAGTTTTAAAGAATGCAGTCAAGGTGGGCCTTATTAAAGTGATATTTGACCAATGACTTAAAGCAGTTGAAGGAGTTAGCCTTGCGGATGGATACCTGTGAGAAAGGCACACTAAGAAGAGTGCCTGGTATGTTCGAGGTACAATAGGAGGCCAGTGTGTTTAGAATGGAACGAGGGAGTGAGTGGTAGGAGATGAAGTCAGAAAAGTAAAGGGGATGGGCAGAAGGTAAGATCACCAAGTACCTGTAGGCCACTGGAAGGCTTTGGCTGTCACACCCCTTTCTATTAGAAACGGAGTCAATCTTCTTAATATAGCCTTGTAGGTCCAATGATAAGGGCTTCACCTGCCTCATCCCCTCTCTCACTATGCTCTAGCCACGTGTCCGACCACTTTGAGGACCCACACAATCCATTTCCCCGGCTTGGACAGTTCTTATATGCTTTATCTGGCATCTAATTATTTTTCAAGTCTTGACTTAAATGTCCAAAGCAGGTCTCCCTGTCTTACCCTCTCAGAGTCTTCTCCATTGTAGCTCTTACATTAATTGTAATTTCACATTCACTTATCATTCTTTTGGTCAATGTCTGCTTCCTCCACTTTACTGAAAAAAAACTCCAGGAGGACAGGACTGGTCCTCTTCTGTTGACTGTTGTGTCCCCACAGTCAGTGCCAGGTAAATTGTACACAATAAATACTTGTTAAATTCATGGAAAGGGGGAAAGCCAAAGGAGGAGGATTTTCCCCTTTTTAAGGAGAAATCCAATCAATTCTGAATAATGATGAAAAGGACTCAGAGAGAGAAAGGCTGAAGATGAACTAGAAACAACGAATAACCAACCAAAGAGAAAAGGTTGGCTCGCCCAGGGGACGGCAACCGGAGCTCTTGGGGAGGGACTGGTCTCCGGTAGGGACAACTCTCTCATGGTAGCAGGAGTCATGTTCAATCACCCCCTAGGTCAATTAAACCGCCTAACTGCTTTTGTCCCCTCCCCGCCATCCTACTGCAGAACACTTAATTCAAATCCACGTTATCACTCGCCTGGATGACTTCGAAAGCTTCCGTGCTACCGGTCGCTCTACCGCTCTGCAGCCTTGTTCTTTGCCCTGCTCCCCGCCTCCTTCACTTCCTGGAGCGCACTGAGCTGCTCTCCATCCTCTCTAGGAATTTGTCCGTGCCCAGAACACCTTTCTCCCACACGCCTGTCCTTGCCTAACAGTTCCTAGGCATGCTTTAGGCTCAGCTGTGGCGGCACCACCTCCTCCGGGAAGCCTACCCGCTCCGCACCCCCTCAACCCCATCCCACCACACGGGCAGTGTTGATGAAGACGGCGTAACGCCGAAGCACCACGCTCCCGCCGTGGTGTGCGGGAAGAAGACATTACCTCCCGCGCCGTCTCCCGCGCGCGGCTCCCCGGTCAGGGGGCGTGGCTCCGGCCAATCCGGGCGGCGAGTCAGCCGCCCCAGCCAATAGGCTCTCAGCGCGCGCCCGGCCGACTCCCCCGCCTCAGACCCGAGCGGTCCGAACGGGAGTTCTGAACTGGAGTTCGGAACGGAAGTCCGACCCATCCCCTACCCCGGAGAGCGAGACCCCGCCCCATCCCCAACTGGCCGAGTCGCGCCAGGAGACGAAGCGGAAGGCCCGCGTACCCACAGACGACTCAGGCAAGGGACGCGCGGCGTCATGGCCGCCGACAGTGACGATGGCGCAGCTTCAGCTCCAGCGGCCTCCGACGGTGAGAGTCTTCCCAGGAGCCGCCTACGCACTCCGGGGAAGGGGAAGGCCTCGGGCGCATAGTCGTAGAGACAGATTTCAAGTGTCAGAGGACTAGCTCCTTCCGCCAGAACCAGCCGACAGGGGACTACAAGTCCCGGTGTGCACCGCGGCTCTGGCTGCGGAAAGCCTGTAGTGTTGAGAGCATAGTTAAGGCGTGTCGGGGCATTTCGGGAGATGTAGTCTGAGGCTCGTAACTGTTAGAAGTAGTGACCAACAACGCGGAGCAGGTTGGGCATTGTGGTCCAAAGGAAGTAGGACGTGTTGGGAAGTCTGGTATAGGGCATACTGGGAACTGTCGCTTTTGGCTGCTGGAGCACCGTGAGCACAGTAGTATGGAGCCTTGTCCGGTATTGAGGGGGCTGAAATCTTCCAGCCCTGCGAAATATTTCCTGCACGGCGTGGGAAAAAGGAACCACAAAAGCCATCTAGTCCGACCTTCCATTTCTACAGATCGTGACGCTGAGGGGGAAGTAATTTTCCCAAAGTCTCAGATAAGCCACTGGAATACCCAGGCTTCCTCTCCCCAAATTCAGGGCACTGTCTACTCCAAGGCCTGTGGGTACAGCACGTGGGATACAAAGGCTTGAGGGAAAAGCTATCAATGGAAACATCCCCACCCTCATCCCCCCATTGGCCTAGCTTGGTGTCTGTTTCCCTTTGCCCTTGTCTGAGCATGAACATCCATCACCCTCCTAACCTCCAGGTGGTATCAGCAAAAGCACAAAATCTGGGGAAGAGCTAGTAGTCCAGGTTCCTGTGGTGGATGTGCAAAGCGACAACTTCAAGGAGATGTGGCCATCCCTCCTGCTGGCCATAAAAACATCTAGCTTCGTAGCTGTGGACACGGTGAGGGTTGGGAAACAGGGAGGGCAGGTGAGGAGGCTGATGCTGGGGGCCTATCACAACCCTCCCTTTACCCACCTGTAGGAACTGAGTGGGCTTGGGGACAGGAAGAGTTTGCTGAATCAGTAAGTATAAGCCCTGTTCTCTAGTCCCAGCCCTGGCAGGATGGGCAGACCTCCACCCTGGGGTGGGGGTCAAAGTCCTGGGTGGTTTGGGTCCTTCGTGAGGCTAACTCCCAGCCACAGCCACCCCCAAACCTAACTCCAAGGTGCATCGAGGAACGTTACAAGGCCGTGTGTCATGCTGCCAGGACCCGCTCTATCCTCTCCCTGGGCCTTGCCTGCTTCAAGCAGCAGCCAGACAAGGTATTGGGCTGATTTCACCCCGTCTCACATCTGTGGCTGGAGGGAGGAGGGTTGAGATCCTGGGAAATATCAGATTTTTCTCCCAAATCTTGGTGTAGCAGACCCTCTTTCCCTTCCAGGGTGAATACTACTACCTAGCCCAAGTGTTCAATCTCACCTTGCTGTGCATGGAGGAGTATGTCATAGAACCAAAATCTGTGCAGTTCCTGGTACAGCATGGCTTCGACTTCAACAGGCAGTATGCCCAGGGCATTCCCTACCATAAGGGCAATGACAAGGTAGGCCTCCAGCTTCCCCAGCCTGAGTCTGCCCCTTCTGTAACTTCATTAATTCCTACCCTAGGCTGGATGCCTGGGGTGAATCTGCTTCTTAGGGAGTATGGCAATCACTGGTGACAGGGCTAGGGAAACAAGATTGATACAAGGGTGGGTAGCACTGGGTTAGGTAGAGAGGGAGAGTTTTCCAGGTAAGGGAGCCTGGGATAAATGTCTTGCAGAAGAGGCTCCCTGGGGAACTCTGTCCTACCTAATGACCCTTTTACTTCCACCTAGGGTGATGAGAGCCAGAGCCAGTCAGTGCGGACACTGTTCCTGGAACTAATCCGGGCCCGCCGGCCCCTGGTGCTACACAATGGCCTTATAGATTTGGTGTTCGTGTACCAGAACTTCTATGCACACCTGCCTGAGAGCCTGGGAACCTTCACTGCTGACCTGTGTGAGATGTTCCCAGCAGGCATTTATGACACCAAATATGCTGCTGAGTTTCATGCCCGCTTCGTGGCCTCCTACTTAGAATACGCCTTCCGGAAATGGTGAGGGAATGGTGGAGGGAAAGGGGTAGAGCCTGGAACCAGCCTATTTCATTCACTTAAGATATTTATTGAGTGCCCACCATGTGCCAGGCACTGTTTTAGGTGCTAAGGATTCAGCAGTGAACAAAACAGACAAACCCCCCTGCTCTTACAGAGTTTATATGCTAGTGGACCAATATCCTCTTATGCTGTTGCAGTGAGCGAGAGAATGAAAAGCAGCGGGCAGCTGGCAGCCGACACCTTACCCTGGAGTTCTGCAGCTATCCTTCTAGTATGAAGGCCCATATTGACTACCGCTGCTGCATGCCCCCTGCAACCCACCGTTCTCATCCCACCAGTGTCTGTGACAACTTCTCGGTGAGAGCACCCACCCATTTCCTGGGGCAGGGGAGGCTCTGGTGCCTGGAACCCCTTTCTAAGCTTCTTTCCTATCTCCAGGCCTATGGCTGGTGCCCCCAGGGACCACAGTGTCCTCGGTCCCACGACATCGATCTTATCATCGATACAGATGAGGCTGTGATGGAGGACAAGCGGCGACGGCGACGACGTAAGGAAAAACGGAGGAGGGCTTTGTTGAGCCTGGCTGGGACACAGACCTCTGGGGAAACTGAGGGTGGTCCTCCCACGAAGCAGGTCTGTGGGGATAGCCTCAAGGCTGAGGAAATTGAGCAGAAGGTGGCTGTGGATGAAACTAGGAACCAATCTCACTCTGAGGAAGTTCTTGCTCACTTGGAGATGGGGCTTCAGGCAACAAGGTCTGAAACAGCTGACGTGGCTATCTCGGAAGTGCCAGGGAGTCAAGCCAGTTCTAACCCAGTGCCTGGGGATGGATTGCACCGGGCTGGATTTGATGCCTTTATGACAGGTTATGTGATGGCCTATGTGGGAGTGAGCCAGGGACCCCAGCCCTGCAGCTCTGGACCCTGGCTACCTGAATGTCACAACAAGGTATATCTGAGTGGCAAAGCTGTACCCCTCACGGTGGCCAAGAGCCAGTTCTCTCGTTCCTCCAAAGCCCACAACCAGAAGATGAAGCTGGTTTGGGGCAGTAGCTGACCCAGCTTCTACCTAGCAATCAAAGTCCAGGAAGACAAGCTGAGGGAACAGAGATATTTGGGTCCCTCTATGCTGTAAATGTCATACTCTCAACTGCTGCAGAGTTTTGGATGTTTTGGGGAAGAGAGGCACTACTGGCAGAGAAACTACTGCGTTGCCCCTGGACCTTTTCCTTTACCCCTGAGGCTGGGGTACAAAGGTACAAGTAAGAAGGCTGACCAGCCCCTGTAACTCCGACTTTATTTTTAGATTTGAGTGTCTTGGGAAAGTTTTACAAAAAAATCAACAGAAACAAGTTATGAAAATATTTGACCAATTTCATCTTTGGTTATTTCTTATTGTGGCTCTGTAAGGACAGACTTCCCAAAGCTCCAGCAGGAAGCAAAGAAAATCAGTCCATGTAAAAACGATTTAACCAATTGGGTGTATCACACATTGACAAATACACAGAGCAGGCCCTGGGGCCTACAAAACCAGCCCCACTCCCAACCACAGGGTTGAAAGTCTTATGGGGCAGAACATTAAGACTCCTTTATAAATATGAAAATAGATTAATCAACTGGAAAAAGGTCTTTGAATAGGTTAGCTAAAAGCCATGACCACCATGCTGCCTTGCCCTCCCCTTGCATAGAAATGTAGTGACGTGGTCTGACCATGCAGGAAGTGCAAACAGCAATTATTCAAGTGTCTTAGACATACTGGCAAGAGGCACCCCAGTCTTCAGGTCTGAGAAATAGTCATGCCCTTTATGGCCTCCTGGTCAGCTGCAGGTTCCATCCAGTTAGCTTATATGCCCCAACAAAGGGCAAGAGACAGACCTGGGATGGGAGAAGAATGGGGTAATAGCTGCCTGCCAGCTTATCTGAGATCTGGAAGTCCTCTGGTCCTGTATGGGGAAGCACATGTGGGGTCAGGTGGAAGCCAGAGCTCCTTGCTGGATTTTGGGGGCTTGGTATGAGCTGTTGGCCCTAACTAGGAGGGCCTTTCACTTCTGCCTCCCTTCTCATACACAGCCATTGGGTATCAGGAGCCCAAAAGTTGAGCCTGGCTTGGCCTGGCCTACCCTGCCTGCTCTGTGGGCTTAGGGAAGAGTGAAGGCTGTGCATCGGGGTGCCTGTGGTGTCAGCTGAAGGTCCATCCCCAAGGTGAGGCAGGGACTAAGCCCCCTCACCCATCCTCCTCTCCCTGGGTTTACAGGCCTATGCCTGAGAGGGAGAAGGGGACTGGAGCAAGCCTCTTGGCCTTTCTTCTACCTCCATCTCCTCAGAGGCACCTGCAGGGCATGGACTGGTCCCCTGGGGCCTGTGCCCAAAACCGTTCTCTTCCTGGGGACTGGAGCAGTCCATGGCCTCATGGGCTGGTGCAGCTGGTAGGACAGATGCCCTGAATGGTGGGATCTCTCTTACTCTGTACTTGAGACTACTGAGACGTGGTGGGGGCCCATCAGACAGCGATTCTTCCCGGCCCACAAATGGACAGGCCTCTTGATGCAAGAACTCGGGTGAACCAGGCAAGGAACGCCACCGGCGAGCAGGTGGGGCCAGGGGCTCCTGCCAATCAGCCAGGGGTATAGTTCCAGGCCCTGGTGCATCCAGGTCAAATACCAGGGAGATGACAGACTTGCTGGGCAGGTCAAAGAACTTGATCTTGCCACCCTTGAGGTCCTGACGAGCATTGAAAGGGTTGACTTTGGGGGTACGGGCAGCACCATCTCGTTGTGGCCGGTAGTAGGGATCCAAGACATTTACGGTACGTGGGGGCTTACGGGAGAAGATGTCTGACTGGCTTCGAGACAGCCAAATGGTACGTCTTGGGCGTGGTGACTTGGGGGGGATCCTGTCATCCAGTGAGCTCAGTCGCTTCACCCCAGGCACTTTCTCCAAGAGTCCTGAAAAGCAGTGAGTTAAGGCTGGGTTACCCTCACTAGTCATAACAAATAGAAGCAGCACTTTACCACCAAGTGTTTTCACTCAAAACAAAGTAGGTACTTTTGTCTTATTTCATCAATGAAGAAACAGACTCAAAGAAGGGAAGGAATATGCCAAGTCACACTGTTAGAGAATCCAGTACTTTTCCATAATCTCCTTCCCATCCCCTTTGCTTCTGGATGTGGGATCTTGCAATTACAGCTCTAGAGGGGAAGGCCTCACACCGTTTCCTCCCTTGGGGTCAGTTGGGCTTTCTGGTCTAATCTCTTACCCTTGGCTGTGGGCTGCAGCTTCCTGTCCCTCTCCTGCTCTTCTTCCTGTAGGCGGTTCAGAATTTCCTCCAGGGTCTTCCCAATCTCCACAAAGGATGGACGCAGTTTAGGATCCATCTGTAGGCATCCACACCAGCCATTAGCCCTGCCCTCCATCTCCCACCCTAAGGATGGCATTTGAGTCTATTTTTGGTATCTTTTAAAATTCAGATATGCAGGTAAGAGTTCTTTTCTGAAGACCCCAGACTATGAGGGTGATTCCTAGGGCCAAAGTCAGGGAAGATGCTATTGCTTATAACCCTCCCGTATCTTGGTCCCCTTATGTGTGTGTCTTATCCCCTTGTTTGGCACAGAACCCTCCAAAAGTTTATGTTCACATTGGTTTATTCTATTCTTCTTTGAGTTCTGCTGTGAATGTGTTTCTGGGAGGTAACTGAATGAAGCCCAGCTACCCCTTGGTCCGAAGAGATAGGTCCAGCTGCAGAGTTGTATAAAATGAAGGCTAACAAGAGCCTTTTTCATGTGCCTCAGGACCAGCTGGATCCTCAGTCCAACAATAAAACCTGACCAGAGCTCATCAATACCTAAGGCAAAGGGTGGTGGGTCTACCCTGCAGGCTGAAGACTGGATAATACAGAGCAACTTTTTTTTTCCTTGGTCCACTGCTGTGGAGAGCCTGGCCAGGCCCAGAAGAGGAGGAAAAGGTGTGGTTGCTGTCACTCATCCAGTGAAAATGAGGCCCCTCATGAGGCTAATTAGCAGCCTTTCTCTACAGTCTTAACCAGATGAAGAGTTCAGCCAGCCCCTGACCAAAAGCAGGGAGAGAAAGACACTCACATTACAGCAGTTGAAGGTGAGCTGCAGAAAGTCTGGGGGGCAGTCTCCCACCATGTGCTGAAAAGCGTCATAGTCCAGCCCAAAATTCTGTGGATGGGTATGGTGGGGAGGGTACAGGGGACATGGGTAGACAGATCATTCACCACCACCCCACCCACCCATCATAGCCTGCTCAGTAGAGTCTGGGAGATGCCCCTGAGAAGTAGCCACAGACTGAGTTCCAGCTACTCCACCCCAAGGACAAAATAGTTTCATAGTCTTAAACCAGCCCCATCCCAGTGACAAAGATCCCCATATTACAGCTTACCTCTGTACGGGGAAGATAGTCCGGATCAGCCTGGATGCGGGCGATGATCTCACAGAGGATGATACCATAAGAGAATACGTCCGCCTGGTGGGTAGTCAGACCTCGGTTTCCCTCTCAATGGGATAAGGGATGGGGTATCTGCCCAACAGCCCAGACCTGGATCCTATTACCCATATTTCATAAAAGTCATTCACTGGGCAGCTGCCAGGTACCAGCCCTGCTCTTGGCAACAAGGATATAGATCTTCACCCTGAACATAAAGGGCAGTCCTGGACACTTTCTGCTAAGAGTAGATTCTAAGGAGAACCAGGTCTTGAGGTCCTCCAAACTTACCTTCTCATTATAGGGCTCATCTCGGAGAACTTCAGGTGCCATCCAGAAGGGTGAGCCCACCACAGCTAGCTTCTCACTCCCCATGCTGTTTGGTGAGATTATAAGGAAAATGAGCTTGCCACTGGATGGCACAATGGGATATTTTAACCATTGGGAATTCCTCTCCCCCAAGGATGGGTACAGACTAGACACCAAATTTAGGGAGCTGAGGTTAAGCTGTGACCAAGTCCTAGCCTCTGGGGAAGAGGCTGGAATTTTCCCTTAGCTTCAGCTCCCTCCTCTGTGACCCCAGCATCAATTAGAGCTGCCCACCTGACATCAGGGATCTTCTCAGCTAGACCAAAGTCAGCCACCACTGCAGAGTAACCGTTCTCATCCCTCTTTATCAGGCAGTTCTAGGTTCACAAAGAGAAGATAAGTTAGCTCAGAAGTGGGTATCAGCTAGCCATAGAGTTGCCACCTACCTCTCCCTTCCTGCCACAGGGCATCTTGCTTCTGCTCCTTAATGAACTATACTCTTAGATTGACCCCAGTGGTTAGACCTGGGGGCTCTAAAATAGCCATGTGAAATGAGTTAGTCCTGGATCTTTGGTGGTAAACAATCATTTATCTTTGCTTTCTAAGTGCTAGGCATGGTTTTAAGTGCCAGAGATAGCTCAATGAACAAAACAGAAGCCCTTGACCTCTTGGAGCTTATAGTCCAGTGGTAGAAGACAGATTATCGGGTCCCTGGCCTCCATTCCTCCTCCAGAATGCAGAGACAAAAAGCCCTGGCCTGATCTTGCCAAGTTAATATAAGCATAGGACAAGTGCCCAAGCCTACACACCAACTTTCACTGACCACAGGATCACAACCAACCTCCTCTCTGGTATTAAAAGTGATCTGGTTCCATCTACCTGTCCCAACCCCCCACCTCCCTGTTCCCAGTGTCCCTATGCACACATCCTCATCCAAACTTGTCAGACAAGCTTGACTTACCAAGCCTGAACAGGCCCTTCAAGTCTTTGCTTATAAATGAGGGTACTTCAAAAAGTTCATGGGAAGGCCAGCCCGGTGGCGCATTGGATAAGTGCGCCACTTGGGAAGCGCGGCGGTGCTCCTGCCCGCGGGTTCGGATCCCACATGCAGACCGGTTCCCGCTCACTGACTGAGCGAGGCTGCGGGAGCAGCGCTGAGGGTTGCAATCCCGTTGCCGGTCCCCGGTCCGGTACGGGGGCAACACTGAGGGTTGCGATCCATTGCCAGACACGGAAAAAGACAAAAGAAAAAAAAAAAAAAAAGTTCATGGGAAAAAAATAATAAAAAGATGAAATGAATCTTTCCGTGAACTTTTTGAAGTGCCCTCATACTGTTCCCTTCCATTTGAAATATTCTCCCAATTATCCTTTTCACTTAGGAAATTTTTATGTCTTTTAAAGCAAGCCACCTTTTCAGTCTTGACCTCAGCATTCACCTTCATTCTCCCTCTCAACTCTTTTAGCTCTTCCTCTTCCCCACTTCCTCTTACAGTCTAGCAGAGAGGCCATGAGCTCCTCAGGAGCAGGTTCTGGTTTGGGCCTTCCTTCCTCCCATATTCTATTCATGAGAGGCTAAGGACATGATCAATGCTGAACAAATGATTATGAACAAATGCT